TGGACGAATTCTTTCACAAAGAGCTCAACTGCTATTAAAGTTGTCTAAAGTCTTGAGTGTTCTGGATAACGTCTTAATGTCCTATATCTATTGCTCATAGCATCGGGAGTTTGGTAGTTTGAGACCCGGTTCCCTAGAGCGGGTCTTTGAGTGTGAAAAAAATGTTAATGAAACATTTTTTCTATTCTTGTATTTTATAATAATAATAATCATTTATTTCGGAACAGGTCTAAGGGTTAGTTAATTGTACAATACATAAGGACAGTGACACAAAAACAAAACAACATTTATTTTCTATACGACCGCATGTAGTCGCATCCAATGCGCGAGCATCGGCGAGTCCCAACGTGCGGACAACGCGCTCAGGATGCGGTTGGGGCTGTCACGCAGGCGGTGCAGCATCGAGGCGCACCTCTTGATTTTATGCCAGGTTCACAAGTGTTCCGCTTTGTCTTGCGGAGAGACTTGCGCGGATGGGACTTGCGTGGGCGATGCCTTTGTTTTGGTTATAGTGGACGCGTGGACGTTGCTGCTCTGTGATTGGCCAGTGGTTCTGTCCTCCGCAAACGTTCCCCGCTTGCGTGGAAATATCAAGCTTGCTAGATATCAAACTAACGCAAAGAGATCCAACACAAAGCAAGCAGCTGGCGCAAGCTCGTGAATAGTCCTGCCTGCGAGTACGCGACAGACCTTTGCGTATACGTGAAGCGAAAAACGCAAGTAAAAAACTCGTGAACCCGGCGTTAATCTGTCAATTATAATTTCATAAATTCATTAAACTTCTGTACACAGAACTGTAATGAGTTTCAAAGAAAGAAGGTCATATTTGTGCATACTGCATATCAAAGATGCTACTCTATCGATAAATTGCTTCAAGATTGGATATCTTTATAAAAAAATTATTGGTTAAAATACGCGCGGTACTTGGCCACTTCTATTCTATCTCTTTTGTCAGATTGATACATAGATATTTATTTGCATAAACAAAAACATAAACATTGTAACAGTTTTCATGTTTTACCAAAACTGGCATGCAAATTTTATTATATTACAAATCTCTTTCTTTTTTTACAAATTTTATAAATCTGGAGCTAATTCTAATAATGTGACTAGAGTTATTAACTATACATTTTATAAATAGTTGTAAGCTATTGTCATGGTTATACAGTCATTAGTTTATTATTTTTTAATACAGTTGCTCAAAATGTGGTATTTTTCGGACCACGTGCCGAAAGTTGGATTTTTCGCACTAATGTTTTTTACTTTTCCATTTTTTTTTTTTCAATTTACTGTTGTTTCAAGTCTTAAACATAGAACTAAAGAGGTTGTATATTTATTTAATATTTATGTGCTTTGTGACGTAAGTCATTCGTCATCATAGATTTAGTATAGTAGTATAAATCTATGTTCGTCATTAAAACTTATTTACTTACAAACATCTAATTTGTTTAAATTGCACAGGTGCTTTATAAAACAACGGGTTACATTTAAAAATACCAAAATATTTTCCATAAAGATGGCTGACTGAGTATTAACAATGACAGGGGTGAGTATTACGCGAGACCGCCGCGCCACTAGAGTATACTGTTTTATTTTACTTTCAATGTAGTTTTTTCGCAAATGTATTAAAAAACGTCGTTTAATACACGTGCGGATTTGTCATTTTCACTTGTCTCGACGCCTCGGGACTTGTGAATAATGACTAACTTTCCGCACTTGTATCAAAAATAACTATTGTAACGTTTGTTAGGCTCTCATCACAATATATGAAGAGGCTGTATAGTGGAACCTGTGGCTACCTTAATGAAGGGTTAATAGTAGATAGTACAATAAGTGCATAAAACGCGTCATTTTACCCGAGACGAGTATATGGATAAAATCAAAAAAGTCGAGGGTAAAATGGGTTTTATGAACGAGTTATACACTCTGATTTTCACTTCGATTGCGAGGAAATTAAACAGCAATATTACAAATAAACGATTATTTTCTACACGTGACTCAGGTCGGACTACATAATGCTCAGTTATATTTTACAAACTTTTATTTTTATGCATTTCTATTTTTTATAACTTATTACTATTGCCTACTTTTTTAATTTTGTAATATAGCACGGATTAAACAAATAAAAGTTCTAGTGTGTGTCGCTGTTGGCGCAGGCGTCATTGTCTCGGTCTTAAACGACGATTTTATTTTATGCAGCCTACACCCAGCATAAACACGAACTTTGAGAGCATGAGAATTGAAAAATCAATTTATAATTTATTAAAACAAATTGAGTTTGTTGTCATAGATTTTTAACAAAATATACGTTAAATATTGGTTCTATTTCATTATTTTATTTACTCGTAGAAGAATTATTGAATGCAATCATTACTTAGTTAGGTCTTAAAATCTCGCACCTATTACTTAGGCCATCTAAGAACGAACGAATTGTATAGAATAACTATTTACGGACATTATCAAGGGATTGCCAGAGTGTAAAATCAGTTATGTTTCAAGGTGACAGGTGTGGTGGCATTGCCCCACAGATCTTTGCGATTTAAAGCTCTGAGTTAGGCATTGCATATCATAAAAAAGCTTTTATTGCTGCAGAATAAAGTTTAAACTTTAAACTTCTTGTCCTCAGAGCTGTGGATACTTCAAAGAGCCTCTAGTGTGCATTGGACCTGTGGCCACGGATCAGGTCCGTGAGTTCGTCGAGCACACAGCTGGTGAGAAGCGCATCGGAGTGTACAGGCTTCATTAGATTGTTCTTTTTGACTATTGATTTGTAGTTTTTTTAAGCTATTTCCTTTCCGTACTACTATAGAGCTCATTTTACTATGGAGCAGTTAAAAGAAAACATTTGGTTTCTTTTTTTTGAAAATAGAGATGTTTTTCTATTTTTCTCTGTGGTCTTGAAAAACAAAATTAAATGAGCCATTTAACATTAAATGATTTCAAGGCCACTATAAAAAACATTTTAACAAAATATCAAGTGGTTTTTATTTGTAAATGTTTCTACACAAAAGTGCTATAGCTATTTTTCTATCTTTTTTATAATATTTTTGAGAAAAAATTTTGTGACCTCGTTCATTTGCAAAAGATACAACAAATAAGGCGTTTACAAATTAAAACGGAAAACGACTTGAAAAAGAATTTCAAAAGGACGGGGTCATAAAAAAACTGCGGGACAAAAAAAAACGAAAATATTGCTTTGAATAACGGTCAAACGATTAGTGATTCAATTTTATTTTAAAGAAAATTATTGAAGCTTTGAAAAAAATACCAAAAAGATAAAAAAATAGAGAAAAACGTTTTCAGTTTCAATTTAGTTTAAAATTAATTAAATGTGTAGAATGTAGATTTAAATTTAATAGAAATATTCTAATTAATAGTAATACTTATGATTGTCGTTTAATAAATTTATTGTATTTAAAAAAACAAAATGGCGACTTTTCGAGTCGCATTTTATTAGTAACATTTTAAATGTGTTTAATCTTTGAATTAATAATAAAATTTATGACTTAGAACTTACTTATATATTAAGTCTTCATTGAAACAAATACATATCTAACCTGGCTGAGGTATTTATAATAGATTTATTAAAAAATATTGATGTTAAAAAAACATATCATTCTAGTCTTAAGCTATTTTCTAGAAAATAAATAAGTGTAAATTTTCTTTTAATCGCTTATATATTTTCTATGTATTATTAATAATTTTAAGATATTTCAAATCAAAACTATTCTAGGTGCCTAGGTAAAACATATCAGTATATTAAAAAAAAGTTTTTTTAAAACTTTAGTGGTAAAACTCACATTTATGACATATCACGTTTTTCTGTAATGCATTGAGAACTAGATTTTAAAACGCTCTAGCCTAAAATCTGTGATTACGTATATTTTCTGAGATTTTAAAGGCAAAAATGGGAGAAAAAATATTTTTCTCCCAAATAAAAAAAACCGTTAAAGATATTAAATATCTTCTGATTTTGTATTCTTTTTTCGATTTCAACGTCTTTTGGTTCGAAAAATTATAAGGCCTAAAAACCAAATTTAAGTTCTCACGTGAATGAAAATTGAAATATATATATTATGAAGAAATTTGTGTTACTTATTTTGTTCATATAAGATACAATGTTGTACGTATAACTTGTGTACTAAATATACTACGTGTTAATTATATACAGTATATCAGCACTATTGTTATTACTATACCCTCTCCTTTACAGGATGTTTTGAGGACTAAATCCTCTGCACACACTGCTCAATTACACGCGTGCTGCATACGTGCAGTTAAATATATGTTAATATTATGTAGCGCGAGATCGGCGCGCGAAGAGAACGCACCACGTGTGCAGCTCGCGAGCCTTTCGTAAACAGGTGCATCGCACTCGCCATATCTGTACGCACCCTTAGACCTCGAGGCATGACCTGAATAATCCAGAGGTTAAAACTATTAGGCGCTTGATGAGGAAGTTCTAGCATTCAACTGCCTCCGTAGCCGAGCGGTTAACATACTGGACTGCCACGCTGAGGTCCCGAGTTCGATTCCCGGGCCAGGATAAATATTTTACCTACATTTATTTCTCTCGTGAGTTTTGGTGTGATTTGTGGTTGTCTATATGTGGGTTATGAGAGTGTGCGTAAAAAAGAGTAAAAAAAAATAGTATAACTCTATACCTACAAACGTTGCCTTCCTTTCGTAGTCCACTGCTGAACATATGCCTTTCCCAATATGCGCCATTTCGCTCGGTCCTCAGCTCATTGCATCCATCTGCAGTGCTAAAAAGGCTGCATTGGCAGAATCATAATATTATTGTTAAGTCACAATTCATATTATACATTTTCAAACGAATTATTAGACAATTTATTAGACAAATTAAATTAGACACTGTTATAAGGAGACCTCCATAGAACACTGTCATATAGATGACTTGCGTTGTATGAATTGTAAGAAATTCATAATATGAATTGTCAATTAATCATATTATGATACTGCCAATACGGCCTTTTTAGCCCTCCTGCTGCCAGCAGCCATCATCAGTCCATCTGGCCAGAGGGCGTCCTACACTATGTTTGCCGAGCCATGGTCTCCATTCAAGGACTCGCTTCCCCCATCGTAATCGATTCTTCGATTTCAGCGTGCTTATTCTACCAGCTATGTCGACGATCTTAATTCTCTGTCGAATAACCCCGTTATAACGACAGACAGACAAGGAGACAGGCGAAGACACTAAAAATGTTATATTGCTCTATTAATTCTACTTTTTTTTTTATAAAATATAAGTGGGCATTTGACCTCCATTTCACCAGATGGAAAGCGACGATGAGGTCGACGATGGAGCATGCATACCTAAATAATGCCTATTCACTCTCGCCTTGAAAAGGTCCAAGATATAACTAGTCCCCCGGTGTTGGAAGGGGGAAGGCGGATTTAAATCGTGCTACGGCTCTATCGTAAGGTAGATTCCCCTGAGAAGAATGAGTAAGAAACTGTAGGGGTTGTTCTTTGTAAATAACAATTGTACACATTCAACATTTACACAATTTTTTTTTTCTTTCAAACATCAGAGATCGAGACTACCTCCATGAGATAAACGGGTTACTACAACAGATTTTTGTGTACCAAGTACGCAGAAGTAGTATAATAACCTTTAGTATAAAGTTTTTGTTTCGCTATAGTTTTAAACCTCGTGAAAGGCAAGCTTTGTATATCAACCGGAATCTTGTTATAGAAGCGTATACATTGCCCCTTAAATGATTTTTTGACTTTGTGAAGACGACTATCAAGAAAAGCTAGTCTTAGAGGATAACCACCCCGTATGAAATACCCCCGGCAACAGAGG